TAGACCAGGTAGGAGGAACTCTGCCTCGCGTTGTATTCAGTTATTTGTATGTTAATGGAACATAAATTAGCTTTAAATATAAGCAGTTCGTGTGTTGTTTTAAAGCATATGTTCAAAGGCTAATCACCTTTGTGTGAACTGCAACGTTGAATGGGGTTTGTTGAATATTTAACTGAAGCGCTTTTAGGTATATGGCGAGTGTTTTAGTGATGAGTCAACATCAACACACTCGGGATGTTGGAGAGTCAGTCTGCAGGCTTGTTGCTGAGCCGCGAGTCTCTGTACACCTGACTGTCTCTGTACACCTGACATTCTCTGTACACCTGACATTCTCTGTACACCTGACTCTCTCTGTACACCTGACTGTCTCTGTACACCTGACATTCTCTGTACACCTGACATTCTCTGTACACCTGACTGTCTCTGTACACCTGACATTCTCTGTACACCTGACATTCTCTGTACACCTGACTGTCTCTGTACACCTGACTGTGTTCATCAACTTATCTTTACACACTTATTAATCTGGGAAAACCTCCAATAACATGTTCAAGAATTTTTTCTTTTCTCCGCCCAAATAATAATATCCGTCCTATTTTTCAGTTTACACGCGTTTATATTCCTACAAATATCCGCCTCAAGGCACCCAATATTGCCAAGATCTCCAACATGATCTTCCGTGTGTCTTCCGGTCCCTAACTCCTGCTCGGCGACGCCTACTCCAATCTTCCATCTTTCCTCTCTAACTTTGCTATCATCATATTCCTCGTACGGGTCTTTCACCACGTGTTTAAAACTCGTCTCAGAGGTGTTTATCCTCGTAACACCTGGAGCCGGGACCTCCGGAAGCTCCGTCACTCCGTCACTCTGTCACTGTCACTCCGTCACTCTGTCACATCTCACCTACTTCGTCCTTCTCTCTTCACATTTACCATTTTCTTTACCCGTTATATCATTCGATAAACAATAGCGATTAAGGAGTAATATACTAACATATGTAGACGATCTTCCATAGGGGTATAGACTCATTCCACTCAGTATTTGCTGCTGATGCAAAAATTAAAAGAATAATCAAAACAGATGAAGATTGACAGACTACAGAACGACCCGGACAAACTCGAGAAATGGTCTAGAAAATGACTACTAAAGTTTAACTCAGGTAAGTGTAAAGTAATAAAATTAGGCAAAGGGAGAATTGACAGGGTGAACAAAGACAAACTATTAGGCTCGGGCGAAACAGGAACAAGGGGACACAGGTGGAAACGTAGCACCCAAACGAGTCACAGAGACATTACAATTTGTTTGCACTGTCAGAGTAGTTAACAGGTGGAATGCATTAGGCAGTGATGTGGTGGAGGCTGACTCCATACACAGTTTCAAATGTAGATATGATGGAGCCCAATAGGCTCAGGAACCTGTACACTAGTTGATTATCAGTTGAGAGGCGGGACCAAAGAGTCAGAGCTCAATCCCCGCAAGCACAACTAGGTGAGTATACACACACACACCTGTAGCGTAGCTCTCATCCAGTAACTACACATAGGTAATTACACGCATACGCATGCGCACACACGCACGTGCCCTGATTGCAACGCGGTTCGGCAGATCATGAAATTTGTTATTTTTAGGAGGCTTAACGAGCCCGGGAGAGTAGTAGAGCGACGAGCCGCAGGTGATGTGGCGTTGATAATTAAGAAGAAATCCCTGATGAGAAAAAACAAAAAACAATGAAGACAGAACCATACAAAAAAAGATTATATGTGTGGAACAAATTATGCCAAAGAACATACCCACAACTTACAATAATAAATGAAAGGTGTTGTTGGTATCACTGAGAGCCTGGGTGATAGACCTATAAACTGACAGAAACTGTTGAAAGATATAAACCTAGATTGAGTGAGTTGTAAATATTCAAACAAACGGACATTGGACTCCCCTCGCAAACACTTACATATATTTTATTAACCATAAGTACACACAGTAATGTGCTGCGTCCATTCTATATGAAGGATTGCATACTATAGATCAAGAGCTATCTGTAAGCTCATTCCATTTCCCAGAACGGTTAGTCATATATGGAATCAGGAGGACAACGCGAGTCTGGTCCACTGAATCTTCACTAGGAAACTCAGGGTAGGAGCACAAGAATATCTCCCAATATTCGTAAATGTATGAGGTTGTCACAGAGCTCAGGGTGTCTCAGCCCACTCGGGCTGAGTTCGTTGATAGTAGAGCAAGTGTTGGAGAGTGTGCACCAGCTCCTGGTCACATAGTTTGCAGCTCGAATGCTCACCGTTGGGGGGGATTCACTACCTGCAGCCCACCCCCCCTGCCATAAGTATCGATATCCCAGCCTAATTCTGGTAATAACATACTGACACTCACGCTAGTGGCTATGAAAGGCATTGAAAGTAATTCAATATATTAGTATATATATATATATATATATATATATATATATATATATATATATATATATATATATATATATATATATATAATTAATTATATATATATATATATATATATATATATATATATTAATTATATATATATATATATATATATATATATATTATATAATTATATAATTATGTAATTATATATATATATATATATATATATATATATATATATATATATATATATATATATATATATATGTCGTACCTAGTAGCCAGAACACACTTCTCAGCCTACTATGCAAGGCCCGATTTGCCTAATAAGCCAAGTTCTCCTGAATTAATATATTTTCTCAATTTTTTTTCTTATGAAATGATAAAGCTACCCATTTCATTATGTTTGAGGTCAATTTTGTTTTATTGGAGTTAAAATTAACGTAGATATATGACCGAACCTAACCAACCCTACCTAACCTAACCTAACCTATCTTTATAGGTTAGGTTAGGTTATATAGCCGAAAAAGGTAGGTTAGGTTAGGTTAGGTAGGTTAGGTAGTCGAAAAACACTTAATTCATGAAAACTTGACTTATTAGGCAAATCGGGCCTTGCATAGTAGGCAGAAAAGTGCGTTCTGGCTACTAGGTACGACATATATATATATATATATATATATATATATATATATATATATATATATATATATATATATATATATATATATATATATATATATATATATATATATATATATATATATATGAAGGGAGTACCACCTCTGCCTGGAAGAAGGGAGACCCTTAGCCTCGGAGGAAACCACACATAACGCATTAGAGGGAATGTTTAGGTCCCCTCCAATACAGATTGTGTGTGCTTTTCTCCCACCACCCCCTTCCTTTTGTATTTTTTTTGCTTTATTATATATATTTGAAGGTTACAAGATGTACATTTGTTGTTACAAAGAGTGCTTAAAGGTTATGGATATCTTGAAGCTCCTCCGCTTCCTGACAGGAACCGAGGATGCAGCAGGCGTTTCCCCTCTGGACCGCCACACTGAGGCGCTGAAACAAAAAACTGGCAGCTCTTGGGTCTCTGGTGATGTCAATGAGCTTGGAGCCCAATTCCTTGAGAAATCCCAAAGCACTCTTGCCATAGGGACCATGCGTCTCAGATGCTATGGGAACAAAGGTGTATCGACCTTCCAATTGCCTGTATTTGACTGATTTTGCTATTTCCCTGTGGTTGGCCGCCCCACCTGCTTGATCAGCTCAGAGGTGTACATAGGCGTCAACCAGGGTGGATACACATGTGTAGTCCCACACAAACTGTCTACCCTCCTTCCAGGAGTATATGGTGATGCCGTCAGGGCGAAGTGCGGGGAAATCCGGGTTGTGGTCCCCTAGGATACGAGGTCACGAGTTGTGCTTGTGACCTCGGTGAGGTTCTCTCTCCGCTGGACACTGAGCTGAGACGAGGCTTCTCTTGATGATGTCATTGATCTCGTTGTGTCTTGCATGCCAGCCCTTTGTGCTTCCGCAATGCAACCCATGCAGTCCATATTGGTTTGCTTCCACCCTGTTGCAAATACACTTGTTTTCAGTGTGAATTGGGGCACCAAGGCGGAGGGCCACTGCTACACGAAGGGATTCTGGATCTAGGCGCGTGCCTATTGCCGACATGGATACTGCCAGGAGGATGTCTTCTGCATGGGGGGCTTCATTGCTCTGAGGCGGGCTTTCTCCTTGTCTGATGTTGCGGCTCTGAACATGGTATCAGATATTTTTTTTTTACTGGTGGGTGGTCCCAGCTGGACTGCTTGTGTTTTTTTGTTGGTTCTGTGATGGGTGCTGGGGCTGCAAGAGCGTCCCACTGATTTGAACATTCAGTGAAAGCAGGATCGTGTATTCCTGCTGAAGCCCCCCAGATACCATTATGGAGGATATAAAGAAAATCCAGGAACAAGACCTTGGAGCCTTGGACCTCATTCTCAATGCATCCAAATGCTAAATAGTCTCCCGCAACCCAGACATCACTGGCCAAATAAAAAATGTTCTTCCAGATATTCTCGTTGTTGAGTCACCTGACTGCACCCTTCTGGGTGCCCCCATTGAGGAGGTTCTGGATGCAAAAATCACTGATCTAAGGAGAATGCTGGACAGGATTGACAAGATCGATGCCCATAATGCTCTCTTCCTCCTCACAAGATGCCTATCTCTCCTTAAGTTGACTTACTTTCTGAGGAGTTCCCCATCCTACAACAGCCCTAAATTAAATGTGTATGACACCCTTCTGAGGTCCATGCTGGTAAAAGTCCTGAACCTGCCATTGGACTACTCTCAGTGGGAGCAAGCAACCCTTCCTGTAAAACTCAGTGGCCTTGGTGTCCGCACAGCCTCCCAGATTGCTCTACCAGCCTTCCTTTCCTCCTCCCATACATCACTCGATTTCGTAAGAGATATCCTACCTGAACTCCTGAGTAATTCAGCAGGTATACACGAACCTGCTTTCACTGAATGTTCAAATCAGTGGGAAGCTCTTGCGGCCCCAGCACCCATCATAGAACCATCAAAAAAATAAACAGTCCGGCTGGGACCACTCACTAGTAGAAAAAAGAGCTGATGCCATGCTCAGCGCCGCAACATCGGACAAGGAGAAATCCAGCCTCAGAGCAGTGTGTGCCCCCATGCCGGAGACTTCCTCTTGGCAGTACTAATGTCAGCAATGGGCACGCATCTAGATCCAGAATCCCTTCATGTAGCAGTGGCCCTCCACCTTGGTGCCCCAATTCACACTGAATACAAGTGTATTTGCAACAGGGTGGAAGCAGACCAATACGGACTGCATGGGTTGCATTGTGGAAGCACAAAGGGCTGGCATGCAAGCCATAACGAGGTCAATGACATCATCAAGAGAAGTCTCGCCTCAGCTCAGTGCCCAGCGGTGAGAGAACCACGCATCTTAGGAGACCAAAACCCAGATTTCCCCGCACTTCGCCCGGATGGCATCACCATACACTCCTGGAAAGGGGGCAAACAGTTGGTGTGGGACTACATGTGTGTATCCACCCTGGCTGACACCTATGTACACTTCGGTGCTGATCAAGCAGGTGGGGCGGCCAACCACAGGGAAATAGCAAAATCAATTATATACAGGCGATTGGAAGGTCAATACACCTTTGTTCCCATAGCGTCTGAGACGCATGACCCCTGGGGCAAGAGAATCGATGCTGCTGCAGAAGGAGTCATTCAGTCTTTCATTCAAAAACTTTTGTGCCATATCCAAAACGAGTATAAGTATGAATAAATTTTGTGTGTAAACTAAGTCTTTAAAAATGTAATTAGGAATTACGAAACGCGTTCAGGCGTCAGACCAGGAATAAAAAGAATGAATTGTGGAGAGTTACTGTATCAATTACCCTCGACAGTGAAGAAGAACCTAAGAAATATTGAGAAGATTCGTGTTAGAATTATTAATCTTACCCTTTCGGTCATATTCGTTTTCGGTCATATATATATATATATATATATATATATATATATATATATATATATATATATATATATATAATTAGTATATTTTGGTAGCAGTCTTTCTTATAAACATATGTTATTAAATATGACCAAAAAAGTAAGATTAATAATTCTAACACGAATTTTCTCAATATTTCTTATGTTTCTTTTCACTGTCGATGGTAATTGAAAAATCAATTCTCCAAAATTAATTTTTATTTCTAGTCTGACTCGACACTTGAAATCATTTCGTAATAACTTATTACATATTCAAAGACTTTAGTTTACACTCGCACAACTATAACCTGCAAACACTAAACAGAGTTCTACTATGCTATCATTTAAACAGCTTTCATCTTATATACCCTCATTTGGGTGAGGTGATATGTTACAACAGTTTTGGATGAGGTGAACAAAACTTTCAACACAAGACAGAACACGGTGCAATGGGTATAAATTGGGTAAATTAAAGGGAAGAATGGAAGCAACTGCAAAGGGCCTATTGGCCCATATTTCTTAATGCTTCTATATTGGAGCGGAGTCTTGAAATGGGTAGAATATAGTTGTGCATTAATTGGCTGTTGATTGCTGGTGTTGACTTCTTGATGTGTAGTGCCTCACAGATGTCAAGCCGCCTGCTATCGCTGTATCTATCGATGATTTCTGTGTTGTTTGTTAAGACTTCTCTAGTGATGGTCTAGTTGTGGGAAGAGATTATATGTTCCTTAATGGAGCCCTGTTGCTTATGCATTGTTAATCGCCTGGAAAGAGATGTTGTTTTCTTGCCTATATTCTGAGTTCTTTGGGGCTTACAGTCCCCAAGTGGGCATTTGAAGGCATAGACGACGTTGGTCTCTTTTAAAGCATTCTGCTTTGTGTCTGGAGAGTTTCTCATGAGTAGGTTGGCCGTTTTTTTGGTTTTATAGTAAATCGTCAATTGTATCACCTGATTTTTGTCTGTAGGGATAACGTTTCTATTAACAATATCTTTCGGGATCCTTTCCTCCGTTTTATGAGCTGTGGAAAAGAAGTTCCTGTAAAATAGTCAAATAGGGGGTACAGGTGTTGTGTTAGTTGTCTCTTCAGAGGTTGCATGGCGTTTCACCTTCCTTCTTATGATGTCTTCAACGAAACCATTAGAGAAGCCGTTGTTGACTTGGACCTGCCTTACCCTACAGAGTTCTTCATCGACTTGCTTCCATCCTGAGCTGTGACTGAGAGCACGGTCGACATAAGCGTTAACAACACTCCTCTTTTACCTGTCTGGGCAGTCACTGTTGGCATTGAGGCACATTCCTATGTTTCCTTAGTGTAGACTGCAGTGTGGAAACCTCCGCTCCTTTCCATGACTGTTACATCTAGAAAGGGCAGCTTCCCATCCTTCTCCATCTCGTAAGTGAAACGCAACACAGAATTCCGCTCAAATGCCTCCTTCAGCTCCTGCAGATGTCTGACATCAGGTACCTGTATAAAAATGTCGTCAACATACCTGCAGTATATGGCCGGTTTCAAGTTCATGTCGACTAAGACCTTCTGTTCAATGGTACCCGTGTAGAAGTTCGCAAACAGGACACCTAGGGGAGAAGCCATGGCGACCCCATCTACTTGCTTATACATGTGCCCATTCGGGCTCAAGAAGGGTGCCTCTTTAGTACAAGCTTGGAGTAGTTTCCTTAGAATGCTTTCTGGTATGTCAAGAGGAGTACAGGCCGGATCACAATACACTCTGTCGGCTATCGTTCCGATTGTTTCATCCACAGGTACGTTGGTAAACAGTGGTTCTACGTCCAACGAGGCTCTTATCCCTGTGGCCCGTGTTCCCCACAGTAAGTCAACAAATTCCTTTGGAGACTTCAGGCTGAAGGCGCAAGGGAATAAGGAGTCAGCAAGCCGTTGAGTCGCTTCACCAGTCTGTACGTGGGTGTGGGTATCTGGCTGGTGATTGGCTGAAGTGGGTTTCCAGGCTTGTGTGTCTTGACATTTCCATACGCATACCCAGGTTTGTATTCTCCAATAATCTTTGGCAGGTGGAGTCTGAATTTCTTGGCGTTCACAGTTTCGATCACTCTGTTAACCTTTGCTTTCAATTCGGCTGATACCCACAGCCGAAAGAAGAGCAAACTGAGGTATGCAAGGAATTACAAAAAGATATATGTTCAGATGACCATGACCAGAGACGAGATAGTAAGGGCAGCAGATGCAAGGGAAAAGGCGCAAGGAGAGGGAAGGGAGCCAGGGAACCTCAGCCTCCATCCCAGCAATCCCAGAGGGGATTGGGGAACCTCAATCCAGCAACCCAGGAACCCCAGGGGGGAAAGCAACACCCCAGCCCACCACTCAATACGGCCCCCCCTCCCTATGCCCCAGCACAAACCCTTCCTTGCCCCTGCACAATGCACATCATAAAACCCAAATCCTCCCTCTCCCCTTACCCCAAGTATTCCCTGCTTTCCCAGCCCCTGGTCTTCTTCCTGCCCCAAGCAGGCCCAGGCGAGACCTAAGCCCTCCATACCCCACTCCACCTCCCCCCAGACTCCTGTCAACTACACCGCAGGAGGGCGTGCCCTCTCCCCAAGCAATCCCTGCCCCCTCACCCCCAGGGCTTCTTCCTGCCCCAGGCAGGTCTGAGCAAGACCTAAGCCCTCCATCCCCCCACTCCACCTCCCCCTGAACCCCTGGCAACTACCTCACAGGAGGATGAGCCTACCCAATTAGTAATGACCATCGAACAACTTCCTACACTTGTGGGGAGTGAGGGTGAAATTGGATATAAGAAAGTGAGCTTCAAGGTAATGTACTCAAACATTGATGGGATTACCAATAAAGCAAGTGAACTGGCAGAAAGGGAGCAAGAAGAAAACCCTGATGTAATAGGACTCACGGAAACAAAATTGTCAGGAGTCATAACAGATGCTGTGTTTCCAAAGGACTACTATGTAGTAAGGAAAGAGAGGGAAGGGAGAGGAAGTGGAAGAGTGGCCCTGCTGATAAGGAAGGACTGGAGTTTTGATGAGAAGGAAATTCTGTACTGTGAAGGGTTCAGAGATTACATAACAGGAACTATAACAATGGGTGGACCTAAGATAATAGTGACAGTCATTTACAACCCTCCCCTAAATGACAGAAGACCTAGACAGGAGTTTGATAGGAATAACATGGCAACCATTAATATAATAGAGTCACAGTCTCCGTGGTGAAGTGGTTAGACACTCGCCTGGCGTTCCGCGAGCGCTTTGTCATGGGTTCGTATCCTGGCCGTGGAGGATTTACTGGGCGCAAATCCTTAACGGTAGCCTCTGTTTAACGCAACAGTAAAATGTGTACTTGGTTGTAACAACGATTCTTCGCGGCGGGGATCGTATTCCAGGGACCTGCCCGAAACGCTACACGTACTAGTGGCTGTACAAGAATGTAACAACTCTTGTATATATCTCAAAAAAAAAAAAAAAAGAGAGAGCAGCTTCCGTTGCCTGCAGGAATGGTTCAAGACTCTTAATTATGGGCGATTTCAACCATGGAAAAATAGACGGGGAGAATGGGGACCCACATGGTGGTGCAGATACGTGGAGAGGTAAACTCTTGGAAGTAGCAACAAGGAACTTTCTGAGCCAGCATGTCAAGGAACCCACAAGAGTGAGAGGCAATGATGAACCAGCTAGACTCGACTTGATATTCACCCCAAATGAGTCAGAAATAAGGGAAGTCAAAGTTGAAGCCCCCATAGGAATAAGTGACCACAGTGTACTGACTTTTGAGTACTTGGTGGAGGTAGGGATAACCTATCCAAGGATGGGATCGGAGGGAAAAAGACTAAATTACCGAAGAGGAAAATATGAAGAGATGAGGAACTTCCTCAGGGGAATACCATGGGAAACAGAACTTAGAGACATGAATGTGCAGGACATGATGGATTTTGTCACCCAGAAGTGCCAGGAAGCTGCAGACAGGTTTATCCCTGTCCAAAAGGAGAAAAACGAAAAACAACAGAAAAACCCATGGTTCAACCAGAAATGCAAGGTAGCGAAGCAACTGAGTAAAATAACATGGAGAAACTACAGAAATAACAGAACACCGGAGAGCTGGTAGAGATACCAGAGGGCCAGAAATGAGTACCTCAGAGTGTGGAGGGAAGCAGAGAGACAGTTTGAAAATGACTAAGGGAGTAAAGCCAAGACC